CCGATCTCCCCAAAACCCCAAAACCCCTTAGTTTTATATTTTCCTTTGATAAAATGTTAAATATTTTGTATTTTTATAAATGTATCTATAAATGCATATATAGTTTCAATAATGGGTATTAAGGGATACTTATTCATAAATTCAACATTCAATAAGCTCTTTTTCGTCTAGAATTTGCTTTATCTTCTCAATCCAATCGTACATTACAAGCTTGTAGCCCTTAATTAGACTGAATTTAATAAAAATGGGACTAAGCTCTCCTTCTTGCAAGTAGTTTATGAATTTTACCTCAATTTCCAGATTGTCTTTAATTTTAAGTCTTAATGATTTTCTCTTTTGATCTAGTTCTTAACTTTAAACTTCCTCAGAATAATTGAAATCTAATGAACAGCTCTTTCCTTTCTTCTTTCTCTCTTGGCATAGATTTTCCAATTCTTACACAATGTCTTACAAAGTAATGCCATCCATGATTTGTAACTCTGTTCCATCATTATAGTAAGCGCACAGCTCTTCTTGCTCAACAATAAATCCATCAGTTATGCCTGTAAAGGGGTCAGTTCCTCCTTTTTCACCCGAATTAAGCAAACCTCTTCTGACTATATTGTCTTTAGGGACTTTCTTATAGTCATCTTTTATCTCATCCTAACCCTTAGTGCTATAAATGCTAAACCATTCATGTTCTGCAATCTCATCTAGATTTAATCTTTCGCAATCATCATATGTTAGCATACCTTGAATAAGTTCCTTGCAAGCATCAGAAAAGTAACATCCATTTTGATCAAATATATTCCAGTACTCTTCAAATTTTTTCTAGATAATAAGGCTATATAATTTATCAGATGGAAGAGCCCATTCTGTTATCGGATATCGACCAGAAATCATTGCAAATAAGCAAACTCCTGATGAAAAAACATCTACTTTTTCTCCATCATATAATCTGTTTTCTAATATTTCGGGAGCGATATAAATGGGAGTTCCTTTCTAGTCGGTTAATTTTTCTTACGAAAATGAAGCGAAGCCGAAATCAGCAAATTTCAACTGATAATTATTATTGACAAGCATGTTTTCTAGTTTGATATCTCTATGTGCTATTCCTTGTGATTTTATATAAGTGAGAACGTCAACCATTTAAGTAAAATAAAAGCAAGCTACCTCTTCTTTCATACAGCCTTATTATTTAATAAGGTCAACCATAGTTCTCTCAGAAATATACTCAAGAACAATGAACCAAATGCCAGACATTTGAACTGTATCTCCAATAATACTTCCATCAATGCCATAATCGTACATTTCCACAATATTGGGATGCTTTAGTTTGAGTAATGCTGAGAGCTCGTCAATAAATATCTATCTAGCAGCCTCTCCTGAGTTTAAGAATTCAGGCTTAAATATCTTGATAGCAACCTAACTATTATCTTGAGTATTGTAAGCTAAGTAAACTCTTGAAGTAGTACCCTGGCCAAGAAATTTGATTAGTTTATATTTATCATTAAGTGTTCCAATGATTTTAACTTTACCTTCCATTTTGATTAATTTGATACTTTGGTGATTAATTTTATTAAGCGGGTAAACAAAAGTAAATTTATACCTGCTTATCAGAATTGAGATAGTCTCTCTGATTTATTATGAATTTCACAGATACTTCGAAAATGAGGTAATTTGTGTCATGGGGTTTTGGGGTTTTGGGGTTTTGGGGAGATCGGAAGAGC